AACTTTTTGTCTTCTGACCCACAAAATATCCACGGCAAAAACTTGTGACCCCAAATATTACTGGTCTGAGTACATGAACTTCGTTAATAACCCTAAAAACACAGGCTTTTTAACAATCTAAACAGCTTGTACACAAATATAAATACTTATTTATACTTATTTTGTGTTTTTGTAATAATTATAGGGAAAATATTACATCAGCAATCATTTTATTACCCTTTAAATTGATTTCTGGAGATTATCCAAGGTGCTTCATGACCCATAATTGGGTCCCAAGCCCAACTTTGGGAACCAAAGTGCAGTGGTTCCCAAATTTTTCAGCTTTTGACCCACAAAATAACAGTAGAGACCTGAGCCCCCAACTGTTTCTGGATGATAAACATTTGTATCAGGTCAACTAAACATGGGCATAGTAACAATATTTTTATACTACATTTATCCATTTTAAATATACTAACCTCACTCMTTTGTAACAACTAAGRCAAAAATGYTATTAATTCAGAAAAATTTTTCAGGACCCCACCTTGATTTTTCGGGACCCCACTTTGGGAAACAATGATTTAGAATAAAACAAAGTTCCGTAATTTGTACAGAATCACATAGTTGTTTTTGTGTGTGCCTAGATTAAAAGTAAAATCTAAATACCACAATGCAACCTACATTAGTGTAATTATACACTAATAAAATAGGATTTAATAAATAGATCCTAACTGGACCTGTTGTAAAGTCTGTAGACCCCAGCTGTGAGTGGAGGACAGTACAAGGTTCTACATTTTTTTTACTTTTGTCCAATTTACACAATTTATTTCTGTTGCATGACTCGCGTCTAGAGAGAAACCATCACCAAATATAGACTGATTGATATCTGGKGCTGAAACTACAGGAACAGGTTTGCCTAATGAACAGAGACCGGACGCAGGGAAACTGAAAGCCGGTAGAGAAACTGTCTGGATGTGTGTCACATTTAATGCAGAACTAAACAAAAGCTGTGTACACAGCCAGTCCATCACATTCTGACTGTCATACATCTTAGTATTGCAATTCACACACATTATTTTAATGTGTTTTAGTAAAAATAAACAAACTGAAAGCTAAAATATTTAAGATTAAACTCCACCTGGAAAGGGTTGACAGGAACTAATCAGAAGCACCAGTGGGATCAATAAAGTCTCTTATCTAATCTACCTGTGTGACACACCTGTGCTAACTGCTGGATCCTGCACTGGAAATGAATATTACAGCAGAACTACAAGGAAGACATGAAGGACTAAATCCACACTGCTTTCATTTACGTGTGTGGGGGGCTCTGGGACAGGGCAGGGGTCCACGGCAGCCCCTGCTGTGTGTTTAGGAGAGTAAGAACGATGCACGCTTTTCACGTCAGTCTCAACCTGTAATGGTAGAAAGCAGTGGTGGGCACCAGACCGCTAAAGTGCAAATCTGCTAATTGTGAACCTAAATATTTTATTTGCACTTTAGCAGTCTTACTAATTTTTATAATTCATAAGCAGATTTGTGCTTTCTAAAATTAAAATGCAGTACCGCTAACAACTAATTATCTACCAGTCATCATTATGTTGAACAGCAGAAGGTATGACTGTCAATGAATCACAACATGTGATCTATCCAACAGCACCCCTCCCAGATAAACACTTTTATTGTGAAGGTATACATCCTGCTGACTGTTGATTTGGGTCACGGTTC